GCCCCCACCCCGCGCCCCGAAAGCAGCCGCCGCCGGCAAAGTGGGATTAAACCAAACAACAGAGAGACACAAAACAATGACCAGAGACATGTACTATTTACTAGTGTGCACAGCAGATCATTCACAAAGGGTAATTTTAGAGCTGGCTTTTTTTTTCTAATTAATGCATGCAAAATATTTAGATACCCAAAGACAACTGCATTTTGGCCATTTTTAAGTTGATATTTGCTAGTTAAATCTTCCCATTTCTGTAAAGCACTTGCAGGTAAAGACTTCCTATCAGGGATATTAATGAAGGCTGGGGTCTGGGAGTTTCTGGCCTTGGAGGGACAGTTTCCCATATTAATTTTTCGTTTCTTTTTTTGATATCTGTTGAGTCTGAGCAAACTTATTAGGACTTCAGAACTGAACGAATTCAGGTCTCATTTATACAGCGAAGGTTTTTGCTCAGATTCTCAGAAAGCAATTCCAATTGAAAAGCCAGAGTTAAAACCAGCCACCCATTTTTCCTCCTTTCTCTCCTTAGCCTGAGTTCTGTCGACCCTTAACCTTAGTTACACCTTGAGGATTTAAAAATACAACTCAAATAAAGCCTGACCCTCTACCAAAAGCAAGAGAAGGTCCAAGGTCCAAGAGACACACACGGAAGTTCAACAAATGGGCGGGGAACGGGCGGGCTCGGTGGGCCCTTTGCTGGATCCTACCAACGGGTCAAGGGTCATGTTTTGGTCTGTGGAGGCTGCCACTGTATTGGGGAGCTCTCCTGCCTCCGTTGGATTGCTTCTGCACCTTTGTCAAAGCCAGACAGCCATAGCTGCGTGGGCCTATTTTTGGATTCTCTGTTTTGTGTTTCTCCCTCCGCCAATACTATAACACAGCCTTGATTACTATATCTAGATTATATCGGTTCAGCAAAATTGACATCTTCTCTGTGTCGAGTCTCCCAATATGTCTCTTTGTGTATTTTGGTCTTCCTTAATTTTTTTTTATCACTATTTTATAACTTTCATCACACAGATCTGGGTACGTGGCCTCTATAATTTATAGCTCAGTACTTCATTTTCTTTAGAATTTGTTAACCTAAAAATAAAAGGCCAAAGTGAGACACAACAGGCAGTTATTTGAAATTTTTGAAAAGTTATTTGGGAAGCACTGATTCAGGCAGAATCCCAAATAGTGTTCTGATCAGGAGACCAAGGCAAGGGGTGTTTATGAGAATGGAAAGGGGAACGATCACATCAGCAGAAGGAAGGCATTTCTATTGGTGCAGAGAAGATAATCTAGTGATGTTAGTTCTAAATAATGCTTTTAATTTTCACTCTGGGAGTCATCATATCTGCTCTCTTGTTACCTCTGCAAGCAGTTCTTTGGGACACAAGGTTGCCCAAGGCCCAATCCACAGGTTGTTTTGCCCTGTTTTAACATCACAGAGGCTTGAGGTGTAAGACCAGCAAGGCAGTTCCTCTGGCAGGGTAGCTCCAGCTCTATTTTAATGTGGGTTCATTTCTATTCTTTTTTACAAGTGATTGGCACCAGTATTCTGTTTTTAACTTTGAGTTCCACATATTCATTGTTGTATGTAGAAACGCAATTGATTTTTGTGCTGGTTGTCTTTACGCTTGTTTTCCGTTGGACGGGTCAAGTTTTCTCATGTTGGTTTGAAAGTTGTATTTCTATCCCTGTTTTGTTTGCCCTTAGAATCATTTCCAGAGACTTTAAATGTTTGTTTTTATATTTTCACTAATTTCATGGCAAGCAGAGCGGCAGATCTCATGCCATCACTCTAGAAGCTGTCTGGCTATGCCAGTCACCCATCTTGATAGGAGACACCGTGGGAGGCCTCCAGCACAGTGTCGCCATTCCCTCACTCCCCGGCGTGGGCACGCTGGCCCGCGCTGATCAGCTACCAGCTCCTGCCTGGGGCCTGGCTTCCTCCCACTTCCAAGTAGTTCCACCTACCCCTTTTCCAGGCCCATGAGCAGGTGAACACTGGAGGCCCCATCTCAGGCATGCCTCCTTTCTCGTGGTTACACATATACTAACATTATACTAACTCAGGGGGTCCTGGCGCACTCTGGCTGTGACAGCAGCTGTGGTGCTCACACCCTGGGTATCATCACAAGTCAGCCCCTTTCTGCTGACTGACTTGTGTGTACTTTCTGAGACTCTGGTCTTCATTCTCATTGGCCTTGAGAGCCTCGGAACGTGCCCACCCAGCAGAAAAGGGCCTTACAGACCACGGCCCAATGGCTTTCAGACTGTCACACTCTAAAATGACCTGGGAGTTTAAAAAAATCAGTCTGGGTCCCCTACCCTGAATCAGTTACACTAGAATCTCTGAGGGTGAGGCTGGACGTAAATATTTCCTAAAGCTCCCTTCCTGGGGGGTTCAGATATACTGCCAGGTTGAGAACCACTGCTCTCATTCAATTTTAATCCCGTCTTCTACTAAGGGCT